ATATTATCCCCCACGACTTCTCCTTGACTGTAAACGCTCCGTGAGACAAACACGTCTGAAACTACGTCTTGTTGGAGTATAAACCAAACTTTAGTCCACGTTTTGACTTCACCTCTGCTCTTCACGCTCCACACACTGTTAAAGACGTTTTTCTTTCAGTTTCAAAGTGTCGGCACACAAATACTATAACCAGACTGTGATACAGTTCAAGATAATGACCTGATTAAAGCAACCTTTGCAAAGGACAGGAGAAAACTCAGGACTTGTGTGAAAAATAAATCCTTTCTGTTTATGGCTGGTGTCCATCGGTGTTCACAGGTTTGTTGTTGATTTATCCGCTGTTCCACCGTAGAGATAAAACCTTTAGTTCACACGATTATTGTTGTTGGTAAACTGGCACAAGACTGAGGAGCTCTAAATGAAAAGGCTGTCTGTCCAAATGATGGTTCTGTACTTTGCTGGTTTATGGCCCCATTAACTCTTGTTGGTTCTTCAGTCCAGCTGGGTTTTAGAGTCAGTCTACCCCCCAGCTCTGAAACACAGCTGAGATATTAAAGGTCCATTTAAAAAATAAGAAATATTAATATTAGATTTATATTTGGTTAATAAAATCCTGCTTTCGTAAACATTTGATATTTCTGTATTCTATCGTAATTCTCATTATAAATTAGATTTAGATGTCAGATCATATCTTTGCTATAGTAACACATGTACAGAACTCTAAAGTACTTTTTTACATTTATATGTATTTTTAGTTTATTTACAGAGACAATATCTAAGTGATAATGTGACAGAGTGTTTGGGCCTTCTGGCTAATGGTTAAGTAACAGACTCAGGGACCTTATTTAAAAATTATTTTTACTGATATTTCACAAAGATTCTTCAATATTTTAATTTTTAAAGATTTTTCTAAAACATACAAACAGTAAGTAAACAAAAAATGCTTTTTTCCTTTTTGAACAATTAGCATCATATCTATTTTATGAGTTAAACATGAAGTCTGTATTGTTTCTACTGTCAGCTGGAAATTAGAAGCATTAATCTGTGTCTAATGTGTGTGCGTGTGTGTGTGTGCGTGTGTGTGTGTCTAATGTGTGTGTGTGTGTTCTGCAGGACGTCAGAAGTTGAAACCATCATGGCAAATTTAGAGAAAGCACATCAGGTGAGTACAGTGTGTGTACATTTCTGTGGTTGAGGAGCTTCGTTCACTTGTCACTCCTGTAATCAAGGCCTGGCTTTAATTAGACACCCTCAGCCCTCATCTACTCCCTCCCCCTTCCAGATCGTGTGATTTGTGAGTGTAAACTGAAGCCCCTGTCTGGTGGCACCCTGCGGCAGCACCGCTCCACTCAGAACTGAGCGGGGGGACATGCGACCCCAGCGCTGAACGCTGGGTGTTCTCGTTGTCACGTTGCCCTGATTGCTTCCTGTTTGGGCACAACTTGTTTTCTGTGTCTTGTTCTCCTCTTTGCTCTCTCACACTCTCACTCTGCTGCTCTGTGCCAGCAGCTCCCTGATAAATGTTCTGAAAATGAATCATTAATTAGCAGGCCGGGTGTGACAGAGCAGGTAAACAGTTTGGGGAATAAAGTGGGCTGACTAAACAGCCCCCTCAGCAGAATGAAGCGGTGGCTGCACTCGTCTGCCCGGGCCCCCAGCTCATGCTCTCGCTCAGCTTTAAGTTTCTGTACAAGGGCGCCTGCTTTGATTTATGTACGTGCTCTTGCCTTGATCATCTCATTAGCCAATTGATGTGACCCGGCGAATGAAAGCGGTGGTACCGTTTCTGTGCACAGAGAGCGGAAACGGCTCAGAGGGAAGTGGAGCGGCTAAAGGAGCAGTTAGCCAGCAGTTCGAGTGCCACCACAGGGAGCTGCCATCCAGCAGAGGGCACCACCAAGGTTAGAATAATATGACTACATCCTTTTTTTTAATGAGATCACCGGAGCTGCAGCCACGCTGAGTGATCCCTCTCCTCTGGGAAAGCCAGCTTTTAACTATGAAAACTTGTCCTGTCCTCCGTTTTACCTCCTTAGAATATCAGATTCATTTCTACATGAAAATAAGACAAACTAGAGAAATTACATTTCCTGCAAAAATGCACTGTGAATGCTTATTGTGAAGAACTTGATAAAAATAAATACCAGAGATTGACTAAAAAACTGCTGAAATGTAGCTGAAATAGAAAATTAGCATAAAGTAGCAGAAGAAAGCAGAAAGAACACATATTTGCTGAATTAGGTTTAAATAAGCAGAAGTGAGCACAAAAATTTGGAAATTAGCTTAAAAAAATGGCTGAAATTAGTAAAAATAAATAAATAAATAGCTGAAATGTAGCTGAAAAGGCAGAAAGAAACTTAAACTACCAGAATAAAGCGGAAAGAGCTGAACTGAGTTCATAAAAGGTGGAATTAGCTGAAAAAGCTAAAATTAACATAAAAACAGCTAAATAGTACCTGAAATTACAGAAAAAGCTGAAACTAGCAGAAAAAAGCTGAAAGGAGCATAACAAGCTAAAATTAGCAGAAAGAAGTTAGCAGAAGCACAAAAATGTTGTAGTTAGCAGAAAGAATCTGAACGGAGCACTAAACAGATGAAAAAACAAATGAAATTAGCTGATAGTAGCTGAAAAAAAAGATTAAATTTGCAGAAGGAAGCTGAAAGAAGCTGAAGCAGAACAAAATGTGAAAGGAGCAGTAAAATGTTGTAAACAGATCTAAAGATTTGAAGGATGTAATATGAGCTTGATTCATTTTCTGAGGACAAAAATGGCAGAAAAGACTAAATATTTTCAAACAGCTAAAGTTGCACCAATAGCAAAAGTCATAGCAGGTTTGTCCTGAAAGAGCTGAACCTTTTGATATATGATTTGTTGAAATAGCTTGAAAACTGAAGGATGAGAAACGTGCAGAAAAACATACGGAAGAAAAATGGATCACAATAGTTGGAATGCTTCATAAGCGTTCAGATGTTTGGCTGTTTAATGTTGAAAAGGGTTCATAGTATTCTTAATTTTTTTCCTGTACATTCTGTTTTTCATGAATCATTTCCTTCCTCAGGTGAAAAAGGAGAAGGGTGACATGCTGCCCGCCCAGCTGGAGGCCAGCTTGTTGGCTAAAGACAGAGAAATCCTCCACCTCCTTGAAAATGTTCAGCGGCTGCAGTTCACACTACAGGAAGTTCAGGAGGCCTCGACCAATCAGATCCTTGAGATGGAACGTCAACTGGCCTATAAGACAGAAGCTATTGAGGTGAGTGGGATATTTCTGAGATCATAAGACGTTGCTCGCTGTCATGTACCAGGTGACCAACTATCGTTAACTTGACTAACCATCTTTAACGTGACAAACCATCTTTAACATGACTAACCATCTCTAATGTGAGTAACCATCTTTAAAGTGACTAACCATCTTTAACATAACTAACCATCTTTAACATGAATAACCACCTCTAATGTGAATAACCATCTTTAAAGTGACTAACCATCTTTAACGTGACTAACCATCATTTACATGACTAACCATGTCTAACATGACTAACCACCTCTAATGTGACTAACCATCTTTAACATAACACACCATCTTTAACATGACTAACCATCTTTAACATGAATAACCACCTCTAACGTGAATAACCATCTTTAAAGTGACTAACCATCTTTAACGTGACTAACCATCATTTACATGACTAACCATGTCTAACATGACTAACCACCTCTAACTTGACTAACCATCTTTAACGTGACTAACCATCTCTAACATGACTAACCATCTCTAACGTGACTAACCATCTTTAATGTGACTAACCATCTTTAATGGGACTAACCACCTTTAACGTGACTAAACAACTTTAACTAGGGGTTGAACGAGTATACTGTATAATTTTTAAACTCGACATTAACATAATAAAACCCGAGTAGAACTCGAGTATTTGATGACGTCATAGAGCTCAAGACACAAAAATAAATAAATAAAACCACAAAAAAAAGGTAATTATTTACAACAACAAAAAGACCAACCATTGTGACTAACCATTTCAATGTAATTAGCCATCTAACCATCAAGGGACTAACCATCTTTAATGTGACTGACCACCTTTAATGTGACTAACCAGCTTTAACATGACTAACCATCTCTAACGTGAGTAATCATCTTTAAAGTGACTAACAATCTTTAACATAACAGATCATCTTTAACATGACTAACCATCTCTAATGTGACTAACCATGTTTAATGTGACTAACCATCATTAATGTGACTAACCATCTTTAATGGGACTAACCATCATTAATGGGACTAACCATCTTTAACATAACAGATCATCTTTAACATGACTAACCATCTCTAATGTGACTAACCATGTTTAATGTGACTAACCATCATTAATGTGACTAACCATCTTTAATGGGACTAACCATCTTTAATGGGACTAACCATCATTAATGGGACTAACCATCTCTAACGTGAGTAATCCTCTTTAACATGACTAACCATCTTTAACATAACAGATCATCTTTAACATGACTAACCATCTCTAATGTGACTAACCATGTTTAATGTGACTAACCATCATTAATGTGACTAACCATCTTTAATGGGACTAACCATCTCTAACGTGAGTAATCCTCTTTAACATGACTAACCATCTTTAACATGAATAAGCATCTCGTGCGGCCCCCTGGTGGGGTGTGCCCTTGCCTGCGGGCGCGCTTGGGGCCCTTGATGTCGGGGGCTGTGCGCTTGGGCGTGTGTCGGCTCGGCCTGGTGTCTGCCTGGTGGGGCTCGGGTCCTCTGGCCCTGTCAGGCCTTGGCCTGGGTGGTGTGAGTCCTCGGTGCCCGGGCCTCGGTGCCCGGGCCTGGACCTGCATCGGTGCGGCGGGTTCCGGCGGGGGCCTATGAGTTTGTCGCTGTTGGCCCCGGGGGGTCACTGCATGTGGTCGCTGGTGGGGATCTTCCGGTTCTCCCCTGTGGTCCGATCTGGGGGGTGGGTGAGTGGTTCGTCCTGTGTGGGTGGCCCTGGGGGCTTCGCGGTCGGGGTCCCTCTTGGGGTCTTGGGCTCTGGTCCCCCCTTTTTCGTCTGCCTCTGGTCTTGGGGGTCGGGTCTCTGCTGCATCACGGTTACTATTAAATGTTCTATTAGAGAAGCCTTATACACTTATGCATGCTCACAACCACACACAAATAGAAGCAGGGATGCTTATGTAGGCTTTATATGTAGATATATAGATATGTATGTGAGTGTATATTCATGTGTATGTATGTATATAGGCGTAGGTATGGGTATATATATTTATGGAAACTTACTGCAAAGCCATGAATATTTTAAGTTCTTTATACATATGTATTTCGTTGCTGTGTTTTGTCATGTTCTTTGCAGGTGAACAGACAGTGGCCGGGTGTTTTGCCGTGTGCTCTCTTTGTGTATATTTCTTATATTTTGGAGTCTTACTTTGTCTTTTCTTTCTTTCTATCCTATTAAAAAAAAAAAACTACACTAGATAATCACTATAATAAATATTTCATAATAATGGTGAGGAGAGGATGGCTGTAAGGGGAGAAGGGAGGCCATCTAGAAAAAAAAACATAACTAACCATCTTTAACATGACTAAGCATCTCTAATGTGACTAACCATCTTTGACGTGACTAACCATGTTTAACGTGATTAACCATCTTTAACATGACTAACCATCTCTAATGTGACTAACCATCTTTAATGTGAATAACCATCTTTAATGTGACTAACCATCTTTAACATGACTAACCATCTCTAAAGTGACTAACCACCTTTAATGGGACTATCCACCTTTAACATGACTAACCATCTTTAATGTGGCTCTGGTTTGGTGGATTGGACCCGGTGTTACACCATACTCTGTGACCTTCAACAGTGCAACACCGCCCCCTACGGTCATACGGTGGTCACATAATATGACGTCACTACGGATACTCGATGTTAAATTTTTAACCTCGATAGATGTCCTAGCAATCGATGTGTAGATTACTCGAGTACTCTGTTAATGCCCTAACTTTAACGTGACTAACCATCTCTAACATGACTAACCATCTCTAACGTGACAAACCATCTTTAACGTGACTAACCATCTTTAATGTGACTAACCATATTTAATGTAATTAAACATCTTTAACCTGACTAACCATCTTTAAAGTGACTAATATCTATGTGTCTAACCATTT